TTTAAAATCGGAGCGTTCAAAACACGACATCTTGTATGATTCAGCCCATTAAAACCAAAGGAAAAAGTGTGAATCAAATGAAACTATCTTGAAAGTCGCGGTCTAATCCGTACGTGAAATGTTTTGACGACCGTTTTTTTTGTATCAAAACAAAGCTACTCAATATCTCGGTGATCACTACTCATACATCGACTTACACATTAAGAAGGAATACTACTAAGTACTTCATTGAAACTGAAACAAAATAAGTAAGCCTTAACGATCTAGAATTTTTGCAACAAAAACCGTCAAATCATTGGCCTAAAGGAAAGCTGTTCCCAAATTCAACTTATGGAAATTTCAATCTGGCACCGGCCGAGATCAAGCAGCTTTCGAATTCCAACCCCTTGACACAGAATGTTTCATTTCTCGGTGACTGGCATAAAATGTCGCAAAATATTGCTTAAACATTCAAGGATGCAAAGGGAGAGTCATTTAGATGTAAACTTATTCAATTTTTGTTATCCAAGAGGAAAGTAAACTCTGATTGGAGAAGCGATCCCGCTCAGGTTTGGCTAATAGAGAGCAAATCATGACTATAAATGAGTTAAACCTGAAATACCTCCGGGAATAAGCGATATTAAAGCAATCCTAAACAACGCAGCAGCCATTTCTTCAACGTAGGACTTGTTACTGTTCAGTGACTTTCTATACTCTGTGATGAATGATTACAGAACTCAATATATATACACGTTTCTCGCCTAAAATCAGTTGTGATCATCAACGACTAGCGAAATTTGAGATCCAAGAGATTGCCGATTTTGACCCCTTTTGACAGGTGTCAGAAAAACTAGTGATAGTACAATACCGGAGCTAAAGATTGATTTTTATTACAATACATGCATTGAGGTTGTGTGTGCGTTCAAAATGGTAAATTGAAAAGTTTCATACCCTTTGTCTGCCTTTCTACTGAAGATCAGGTTTAAGTTATTGTAAGCCTGAGTTTTGAGAGATTTGTCATCTGAACGTGATACATCGCATGCCAAACAACCACCCTTTATGACGGCCGGAAGTTGCACAAGTGGCTTCGAAAGTAGCTATCCGCAAAAGATAGAAGGTTTTGGAGATATCCTGGGTTTGAGAGCGTATTTTGACGCAGCGCTTTCGAGTGGGTAAGGAGATGTGGAAATATGGTTTGCCTTAAGCTTGCAATTTTTCATCTTATTTCCAAAAAGGCGAATTTGCAATACTTTGGCGCATCTTGTAACCAAAATTGAGCGAAACTTGTAGGTTTATTATAATGGCGCTCTCTCATTGACGTTTAATGATTGCTGGCGATTATTGTTAAGACCCATAAGATTAACTATATTGAGACTTATTTTAGAAAAGATGCCTTTTATTCATCTGAGCATCAAGCAATGTAGAATTACAGTACATTCAGTTTCCCCTGAGTGAACTGCGAGGCTGAGATGGCCTGGTGAACCTGAAAAAAGGAAAGAGCAGGAACAAAATTTAGTTCAGATTACAAAGTTACATCGATACCGAAGTCGATTACTAGTGCGTGACACCAGCGCCAGACCGCTCAATGATGATTTGTAATTACAGTCACAAAAGTTACGCTATCACGCTACAGTAGTTACATCCTTGATGGCACGTGTTTTGCACATTGATCTTCCAAAACCCAATCAAATTTACTAGATTGACTTAACTAATAAAAGAAATAACGATGTCGGGAAAATTCTTCGTACTAACTGACCTAGTGCTCATTCACACTTGTACTTCACAGTAAGATATTTTCTGACTCCTCGGCACGGATCACCAAACACGCTGTTACTCGCATGCAGTGCACAACTGACTTTCCCTTTGCACGTTTTCTGCACAAAGCCAAGTGACGTGGAGGCACGGCAATTGGTCACTGTAGACTTGCCACACGTGTTTTTGTTGAGTCGACCATAATTTGCATGCAGGATGTTCATTTTCTTCCCTTTCTTGCAAGTTATGGTAGTTTTCTTGGTTTCGCAGATCGTCACTGATTTAGGTTTGTCTAAGGTGAAAAATAAACAGCAACGTAAGGTCTTTAAAATCGAATTCACTGCGTTCTTGAACTAAAGACTATTAACACCAAATGTGTGTTGCAATTTATACCGCTGTATATGTCCCTTCACTTCTTCAAGATAGAATGATTTACTGATATCTTTGGTAAAAATTCCGCACAGCCCCATACTATTGTAAAACAAATCTGTTTTCCCAATGGCAATGTATTGTTTTTGTCGTTGTTTTCTCTATCCAAGAACCGAATGCATAATGTAGTATGAGGCTGTGCGGAAATTTTACCATTTCTTTCTTTCGCAGTGCAATCGTTTCTCGAAACTAGAGGGAAAACAATTCTTTCTACAATTCTCTCGGACAAGCTGTTTGACGACTAGTTTGCATTCCGAAAGAAGCTTGTAGACACTGAAATTTGAAATTTTTGTGGTGCCTCTTGAGTGTGAATCATGCACTACGACAAATTTTTACATAAAAGCAGAAACTCTCACCTCCGTTAATCGCCTTTCTCATCATCTTTGTAATGGTGGTCAGTTTACGGTCTAACTTGGTCAAGCGCTGGAAAATCTTTGTGTTCGCTGATAAATATAGAAACATAACGAAATTCAGAACATTAGGTCATGAGCACTTGAAGCAGAACCTCTGATCACATCGGACAACTATTTCCTCAGGAGACGTTCAATTCAATAAATTTGTTGTCGTAGATAATAAGCTTTCCAAACCTTATCCTACCTTTCCTCAGTTGTTTTGTTGCCAAGTCAATTGCACCGATTCTGCTATGAGTGAAGCGAAGAGTCAAGTCAACGGAACTTACAATGGACAAAACTTGTTTGAGATGTTTCTTCTGGTTGGGGCAAACTGTTTTGAGCTTGTTAGAGATTTGTTTTATCATAAACGCTTCTCCCTTTTTAGCTCGTTTAGCTTCGGAACCAAATAATGCCAGGAAGGCTACGAGCGCCAAAACAACGAGAACGTAAGTGAATTTCATGTCAAACTAATTTGAGGCAAGGGCTTCGTCTCCTCAATCAATCAATCTCGACCGAAACTGCAATGGCTTTTCTTCGAAGAGGAAGACAATGTAAATTCTCGCTCTTTGTATCAAATTTCGCCGTTTTTTCATGTTGGTTGTCAAATATCTGATGACCCAATTTGATGATCTATTTGACGAGCTTCCAAAATGTCTTCCGCTCTTAGAATTATCGATAAATTTCACGTCACCGAAGAGCTGGTTCGAAAGTCCTTAATTTTGAGTCTTGATCTTAGATACAATATGTAATTAAATCGGACTAGTTCTTTTTTCGTAATTCTTTTTTCGTAGTTCTTTTTTCGTAATTCTTTGTTCTAACTCTGACTTCCTCTCTATATATTTTTGGACTTATTTCTGAAGCTTAGACTGACTGTAAATATTTGCTGACAACTCGATCAAAGTATGCTGACACGAGGTTTTGACGTATGTATACTAAAATTATTCAAAGTACGACCCTGCATACATCAACAAAGAAAGAAAAAGAGCTTTTTATCAAAGATACATGCAGTATTCTCCCTTTTCATTTTACTGCTTCTCACACACGAGTAGAAGTGATCCCAACTCTTTCCCCTACTGTATACGAAATTAGAAATATTACGCATACTTGAATACACAAGCGACAATACACTCGATTAAGGTAAACAAGAGATTTTTGGAACGCATGTGCTTACGACACTCCAGGGCTGATGGCCGTGTTATTGAATATCTTGCGCTCTCTTACCGATGATGACAAATTAAAAGCTCTTAGACAGCTCCGTACTATTGGTTCAATTTACGAAACCCCGATTTGTTCTGTCCCATTAATACCTGATAAAATTAGTAAAGCAGCTAGCGCACGATTGATAAGAGTCTAATATAAAAAAGGAGCAACAACACTAATAACATCAGGCTGGTAAAAAATAAGACATTTTATTGTAAGTTACTATTCAGATACTGCACAAACATATTGGAAATTTTCTTCGTATCTTCGACAGGATGCATCTTCGTGTAGGTAATAAATTGTCGACGTATTTTTCTTAATTCTGCCATGTTTGCAGTCCTATCCAGAACAACGTGGAGACAAAACTGTTAAGGAAATATGCACATCATTTGAAATTTAGAAAACCGTATTGTTATCAATTGACTCACTAAGCGGTCACTTGTGATATGAATCGACTCTTTCGAGTGCATACCGACACTGTAAGTCCTCTTTGGGCGAGGGCACTCAAGTGCCCAAAATTGCTTATCCTTCCGTTCTTTAGAGCGGAAAAAAACATGGTATGTTTTGTAAAAGGATATTTTCTCCGATGTTCCCGGGACCGTGATGTGATCCCCAGGTACAAACGTCCGTTGGGAATTTATCAAGACCTAAAAGAAAATCACCATTGTGAAAGAAAAGCTACAAATGGTTTATCACTTTGACCAATTGCAGAGGTCTGTTAAACAAAAAAAAGATGACACTCAGATTACAGGAAACTACAAATGAATACCATCTAAATTTTTCATCTCCTTTGTTTCATTTGGTCTAAGAAGACAATTAACGACACCATCATTTAACTATAAATGACATTACCATGTATCTCTTTCAGGATTTAAATAACAGTCAACATTAACATTCGTCTAAAAGCTCATGTTATCATGAGATTCATGTAAAGAGCACAAAAGGGATTACTTACAGTAACTATTTCTTGAGTTATTTTGTCAAGCTCGTAGAGGAAGTTTGTTGCTGACAAAGGTTGCTTGAAAACAAAACAAATTGAACTGGTAAATAATTGAAAACCAAAACCTCTAAAACATCGTGGTCATTGATAGTGAAAATTGTGCTGCCTGGCATCAAAACGCTAAACTGGTCCTGAGGTACTGAGACAAATGTCACCCATTGACAAGTACTCAATTGAATGTTATGGAAGAAAGGCATTACAAAAATACTAGTCTCCAGAGCAGGCATATCTTTTAGCAGGTAAGTGTTCAATACTACTAACCAAGTGTTGAAGCCGCCATATATGACTGGTAACATTAAGCAAAGCATGGAGCAGATTAACCAGACAAGAGAAGGGCTTGAGAAGAAATAAAATTTCTTTCCCAACCCCCAACCCCCAACCCAATTTCCTAGCTTGTTACTCTCTCTACTTCTCCCCTAGTGCTCTTGTTTTACTTGCCTAAAGATTTTTTCAAGTTTAACGATCCAACATCGCTGTTCCAACACTCAACTGGCATATTTTGCCCTAACTTGCTAAAAGATTTACCAGCTAATTGCAAGCCAGTAAGGCTTAAGCAAAATGTCTTGGGTGACAGCCAAAGCTCAGTGGATACATGATTCAGGTCAATTCAAATTCCATATTCCTTACCGGTTGAGTAGCCTGGTTTGGCGGCGGTGGTACTCTGTTGATTAATGCATCATATATAGATTCAAATGGAAGGTCATCATCAACCTGAAGTAATGAAGCAACTGATTTCAAAAATAGTAACACCGATGAGAAAAAGAAAATGTACATTCCAAGGGAGGCCCCTCTCAAATTCCTGTCCTTCAAATTGAAAAAAAAAAAACAAATAAACTAATATAAAGGACAACAAAGGAACCAAAAAAGGAAAAAACAAAAAAAAACAAAAGAATTAAGCCTTTTCCTATTACAAGTAACTGAAATACACCTGAAGTACATAAAAAATCTTACAAGTCATGTAAGTTTTGTGCAATTCCTTAAGCTGCATAACATGTGTTTTAATATTTCTCATGGAAAGTAGAGGCAAATGTCTCTTGACCTCTATAAACTGTATTTCTTAAAACTAAAAATTTGAATTGCATGTATTATACCTGGATGACAAATAACGGAGAGTCCCATCTGTTCCTTGAGTCAGGCGGCTCAAACCTCATTACTAAAGCATCTAATCTGATTCAAACAAGATGCAGCACAAATACTCAAACTCAGATTATAAGAAAAGTTTTGACAAGGAACAGTAAAGTAAAATCACTGCCATTTTAATAGTTGTGCAATCATAATGACAAACTACATTTTTGTAGCACTGGGTTACAATGGCAATATGAGTGTCTTTTATCACTTTGTAGAGAGTAGAATAACACAAATTTTGATCAGTAAGTCATAAACCTTAACTGAAGATTCCAAACAAAACTAAAGCACATGTATGTTACATCAATTCTTACCAAAAGCAAAGAGTAAAAATTGTACCATTTTGGTTACTGAACACTGTCCAAAGATCATGTTCTGTCACAACACAATATAACCATCATAAAAATGGTAAATAATGATGATTTTGTCAATTAAAGCTTTTTTGTGTGGTTTGAGCTTAGACATAAATCGTGTAATATATGCAAACAACAGACATATAAGAAATATTACTAAATATTATAGAAATAAAAACAGATTCAGTATTTGTGTATTAATTAAGTAAGCCAACAGTACTCACGTTTCATCATTATATCTACTTTCTCTTGTTTTATTCCACTCTGAACAGATTTCTTTAGAAGTGTCACAATGCACCTTAAAGTTAAAATTAACATGTGTTAATACCTGACTAGCACTGATCTCAGAGTTGTAAAAGTAGCTATGAAAACCTAGAAAATCATCCTTTGTGCTTTTCTATTCTTGAAAAACACATGGAAAATATTGATCAGAAAAGGTTGTTTTTCTTCAAATTCACTCTTTTTAATAAGCAAAGTGGTAAAAATAATGTTTACATGATATAAGATGTTTGATTTTGCCTCTTAGATTCTTTTGTTACATCTGAGAGGTCCAATTTAACAGCTTCAAAATCTCAGGGCAAACAATTGACTTCAGCATAAAGCTTCTGAGAATGAAAAAGAGAGTTTTTAGTGCTTATTCCCCATTTCCTTGTTGCAGCAATATATATTTTTTTAAACTTAATTTTTAAACCAAGGAGCATTACTGTTTGTGGTCAAGTCAAAAATCACTTCTACTTACTATACAATGTGTGGTCTTGTGTGCCTTTGCAACACAGTATAACTCATATCTATAACCTGAAAATAACCAAAAGTAGAAACATGGTTATTTCACTTGCATGGATATGAACAATGTTGTGGTGAATGCAAAATATTTAGATTTCGCATAAATAGGTCTTATATTTTTGCACCCATTAAATTACACTTACTTCCCTCATTTTTACACAATAATTTCCTGTAATGTCTGAGACCTGATTCAAATATGGATGGTCAAGTAGATATTTCAGCGAGTTCTTTAAAATGTGTAATGTTGGTTACATGTTTTTGCAGTCACAATAAGATATCAAGTTTTGGAGAGCACATGGTCTGTTTTGAGTTTAAGTTTTAGCTTCTGCAAGATTTTCAAACAAGATTTCATTTTTTATTAGCAGAACAAGGCACAAAAATCTTGTAAGTATAGATTGGTTTTTGTTTAGCTTTCTAATCCTTTGTGATTTGGTTGTTATTTTGCTTTATTCAGCGAATTTATGCATTTGATTTCAGTGAATCGTTGCTCATGTAATAACAAAAGTTTACAGTTCAGTGCATATCCAGTTTTCTTCTTGCCACTTTCTAGTAGTGAACATTGGATTCCTACATTTCCTACACCAATATTTTCCCACTTTATGCAAATTACACCTCCCCCTATATATCAGGTTTCACCCTCCTTTTGGCAGTGTGTGTAATTTTTGTGTCAATGTACACCTCTTCTCTGTGAGTGTCTTTGAGTCTCATATATTCCCTTGGCGTTTGGTTAGTTTTTGTCCAATAAATGTTTACATTAATTTTTCACCTCTTAAATAGTAAATTTTTGTAAAAGTGGTTTTTCTATTCCTTAGGAATTTTACTTCTTCACGTGCATATCAAAGAGTAGTAAAATTTAATGCTGAGTAAACATGTTGGATTGAAGTGGGCCTGGCTTGCACCTTCACACAGATAGTTACATTGCAACCTGACAAGCAAAAATCTACGATCTGCTTCTATATTCAGTGTGTCGATTTAACAATTTATAGATTTCATGTTGCTATGTGCCTGTTCAGCAAAAAGTGGCACACAATTATCGTATTTTAACTTTTCTGCAATCTATAACCATACAGACCCATGACAACATAGAAACTATTTGTTTTATAAATAAAAAGCAAAATGCTATTAATGCATGGTGACATTATACATACATCTATCCTCCAACAGAAAATACACAAGAATCCAACAAAATGTACATATTATTCAACTAATTTTATATAATGTCTGATTCATTTCTTACTCTCCTTATTCATTATTTTCCTAATTTATTCATTCATTGCAGGTTTATGATTGGTCTAGGTGGAATGAAAATAAAAGTAGCTAAAAAAATAAAAAACACTGCAAATAATCAGTAAGAGAGTCCTTAAAAAAAGCACCATGCTTAATAGAAAAACAGGAATATGTCCCTTACCAAACCCTTGAACATATACCTCAGCTCCTATCAATGATTATCCTATTTAACTCAGGAGTATTGTTTGATTTACATCCAAGCTACATTCACTGAAGTAATAGTTCCCACTGACTGCTAAGTTATGAGTAATTTTATCGTCCCTGAATATAAAATATTCCTTAATTGTTGTTTCATCCAAAGAAAAATACTTTAAATTACCTTTTATGTAATTGAGGGAGTCCAAAATAACTACATCATCTCTTGAAATAAGCCTTGTAAGAAAAATGAACACATAACTAAATCAGAATTGGGAATTGAACCAAATTAATTTGGGGAGAAAAATGAGTTGGGGCTGTAGTAACTGACTTACCGTAACAGTTGTTTCATCGCTCATTTCAGCTTATCGCTTAAATATATTTATAATATGTTTCTGAAAATAATTAATGACACTTGTCACTAAGTCAACTGTGATGTTAAAATAAATGGCTACCTTTCCACTGCAGACTTTAAAAGACCTCTTGCTTCCTTTTCATTTGCTGAGGCTGAAACATAAGTTCAAAATGACACCAATTGAAAAATGAGTACATTATTGCACATGGTGTGTCGACCTAATCGATGGCAAGGTCATGTTTGACTTCTTTTGGATTCAGTGAAATGCAACTAAATGTCCCAGTCTGCAATCATTTTGCGTTTATCGTTATTTACACTGCAATATTTAATTAAGTTAAAATAAATTTAACTTATAATACCTGAATACACAGAATTTCTGTCCAAAGAGCTACTTTCGTCGCTCGCTAAATAGACAGTTTTCCCCCTGTTTTCCAAGTAATTCCTTAATTCCTGTGCTCTTTTTGACTTTCCAGAACAAGGAAATCCACACATGATTATTAGTGGCATCTTAAACACATATATTCCGCCAATTTGAAGAGGAGTTCACGATAGTATTTCACAAGACACTTCGGCCGCCATATTGAAACCGGAAAGTTTATATATAGACATGATATCCTTATATGGAAATACTCCCTCCAGTGCTCCCGGTCAAACCCATTTCACTTTTCGAACATGGCGGACATTGTGAGCTTCATCAGACTTTGTACATTGCTTCAGCTTGTTGTGTGTCAATTTTGTTGGTGTGATAGTTCTGTTAAAATCCTCGATGATAGTTCTTTTGAGCACTTGACTCAAGCCTCAACGGGAGCAACAACTGGAGATTGGTTGATAGTTTTGTAAGTTTTTATTTCTTTCTTTCTGTTCATGAGGATTTGCTATTTTCTTTTCACTGTCTTCGGATAATAATTTAAAACACTAAAATGCTTTTGTTCTTGTCGTCTTCATATCCCTAATATGCAGCTCTTTCACTGAACGGGATCCAGAGTGTGTACAATGCAAGAAAGCAGATGAGGCAGTTGAGAAAAGTCAAGAACGGTATGTATACTCTCGAAGATTATTTGCGCTTCAATATGTTTGTGTTAGTTACTTCCATGGGCTTATAGGTACCATGATTATCGTTGATCAGTTTGGTCTCGAATAAATTTGCAAGGGATTTAACTTTCCCTGGATGTTAGTCTTTTTGTTTTGTTTGTTTGTTTGTTTGTTTTTTTCATATTTTTCTGGGAAAAAAGTGTTTACACTTTATTTGCCCAAAACAAATCAACCATCCAAAGCTAAACTGGAGTAATTCTCAATTCAGGGTCCAATCTTCAAATTAATTGCCCGTCCCTGCATCTTCAATCAATACATGTATAAATCTGTTAAATCTGTCAACCAGGTAACTGGGTGTCGTTTTAAGGAGTTACACATACAGGTTTTCTTTTTTTTACTTCACATTTTAGGTTGGGCCACAAGTTGAATTTTGCCAGAGTGTTACCACCTAGAAGTAAATGTAAGTTTGAATTTTGTAGATCACCTTTTCTAATTTGCAAATGGCAATTTAGTTACTTTGTGAATTTGGCATGATGTTAATTGCCATTATAGGTAGATTAAGTCTGCCAGTCTATCACTACGTTGGTCAGTCTGATCAGTCCGACACCGAGCCAGGCAATCTGTAAGTCAGTCAGCTAGCTCATCAGGCAATCATCTGTTAAGGCATCGTACTAGCCAGCCAGCCATTCAGTCAAGGAAACAGACGATCATTTAGAAAAGTCAACCAGTCAGTATATCCCCACTCAATACTTTTTCATTCAGTTATTAGGCTAGATACTATTAGCAACCATAACAGGGATTTTTAATACTTTAGAATCCACCATTGCTCAGTGAATTATTTACCATTTCATTGTTAGACCCAGCTGATGTCCAACCTTAAACTTTTTGATTTTCAGTGACACTTAGAAGATTCGATGTTCACAAATGGCCAACTGTTCTTCTGTAAGTTCTCCAGAATGATTTTTGACACCAGCAGTTTGATACTAATTAAATAGAGGGTGATCCTTGTATCTTGTTTCAATTCATTAAAAGAGCCTTGGCTTTCTCTTTGGTAAAACGAAACACACTGATAAATAGATTAGCACCCACATTATCACAATTTGCAGCTGTATGTCTGTTTGAGTAGAGAAGATTTATTATTGGTAACCATAACTTTGTCATATCCTTTTTGTATAATTAAGGAATTATCATGGAAGGTTATCATGAACTTAAGGCTCAAATGGTTTAAAACTAGATTAATTAAAATTTACCTTAAAGATGTTGGAAATGATGATAAATTATGCCAGGAACAAAGGAAACTACATATTGAATAAGTCTGAAATCACTTGCACCTGGTCCTGATTGTCAACGCTAAACTTCATCAGATAAATCACTTTTTGGTGGATAGAGCACAGTGCATTTTTTTGTCTCATCTCTGCTGGATAGTGATATACATGTATCCAGTGGATGGCATTTTTCACCCATTTAACAACGAGGCCTTAGAATTTAATTTAAACTATGATGCTCAGACTTGTGGAAAATCTCACAGTTGTGACTTTGAAATGCTGACATCTCTTACCTTGTTTTTAATTTTTTCAGCCTTAAACAGGGCAAACAATATCATTACTCATCAGAGAATCTTGATGCAGAGTCTTTTGTAAATTTTGTCGAAGAAGGTTACAAGCTGGCAGCAGTTACACCAGTACCACCTCCTATAGGAAAATTGTAAGTACCGGTATTAGTTACACTTGTCTACAAATTCATGTTCATATAGTTTTTCAGCTTGGGTATTTCACTTATATCAACTCAGTTGGTAAAACAAAATTATCTTGTAAAACCCATCACAGATGTATCACCTCAGTGTCTTTGGAAATTTACCCCCTGTATAATTAACAATTGAGA